ATTCTCTTTTTTTTTCTTTTCCTGGGAGTTAATGGTCAAAATTTGAAGATTCATTGAAATTTGAACTGTTTTAAAACGATTCTGAACACATATTCAGTGGCATTTAATTTGTGAATATTTTCGGATACAGCATACATTGAATGGCATCATCATTTGTTTTGCTTTTAAGGGAGACGAGTGGATCGTAGTTATCATAAACTACTTGAACGATTCACCACGCGGGGTATAGTTCTCCTTGGTAATAGGCCTATGGACTATAGCATTTTTCCTTTTGTCTTTGATTTTAGTAAATTTCTTTCGTACAAGACTTTTCTTGTTTATAGTTTTCGATTGAACTTTGGTGTAACTAGTCATGCTATCCATATTCAAGAAACTTCTGATAATTTCTGGTTCAAAATCACTTGGCCGATTCTATAAACCTTGGAAATATATAGCTTCAGTTGTTGTCAAGAGGTATTCCCTATCTATTCCAGAGGAAAAGCCTCGTGATTCGACAATGCACCTCGGGTTTCATCTAGCGAACCATGTGGCTTCCAAGTATACAAATATTCGAGATTATCTGCATGTTTTGTACTACAAGATAAGTTTTTTATTATTGAATTTTTTTAACGAACTATGATCTTCTGAACTGATCCATACGGGGTAGGGAGATGAAAATGCATAGAGGCAAGCGACAAGGCCCGGAGTGTCTTATTGAAGCTGATCCCGATGTGAAGCAAGTTGTGGGAGGCCCTCCATGCTTAGAGCTGAAGCTTTGGGCAGTCTTCGAAATCTTTGGATCATTTACTACAACTTTCTTCTTTACGTTAATCCCACGTGCAACCCCCTTTCAATCCCCCTACGTCTCACCTTTCTCTCCTTAAGCCTTGAGTTTCAAGAGTAGTGAATCCTGTGCGCTATCCGAAATTTCATGTGCCAAACTTTCCAGAATCTCCAAGTATTATTAGTACTTTCTACTCCTTTGAGTCTTGCATTCCAAGCCTACCCATTATTTCCACAGTTTCTCTCTTTTCATTTTGAAGATTCCAAGTTTCCAATGGAGATTGAATATTATTCATAGATTTTGACAAAAAAAATTTCGGACCTATATTCTGCTGGCATATCTTCTATTTAATATATTTGCATGTCCTGCCGACGAGGGACCAAGCGGGCATTACAATATTTTGATATCTCCTGTGGTTTGATTGAACCCCAACAAAGCAGTGCTCTGATCTCTCTACAGATTTACTTATATTATCCTTTTTTTGCACTTTGTTTAGACTGTAGGATATGTGCCCCTGCAGGAACCCCACAATTGGTTGGCATCAATATTCTGCCTGTAATTTCTATTCAACTTTTGCTTTTTCGACCTTTTTTGGGTAGTAATTGTATAGAGATAACTTTTTTTTTTTGGAAGATTAATGTTTTGAAAACTTGATTATCCCATAAGATATAAGACCTAGGGGTGAAATTAGACAGGTCCCTTTTGATCTTTTGCTTGAAATAGTTAAAATTCACATGTGCTTTCCATTTAGATTGCGCCACAAATAAGGCACACCTATGATTGGTCTAAAAACAATCATCGCACACGGATGTGAATCCATGTTTTATCAGGCAATTCCCTGCTTTCATTGTATTTAAATTATAGAGAAGGAAAGCATGTGAAATTTGACAAATCTGTCTGCTAATTGAGTGGCTTGACATAATCTTTTCAGCTGTGCAATAATCAAGAACTACTTAAAAGGGTTCACTCTACATTGTTTGTTTTGATGTTATGTAGTACTTTGTTAATTCTATTTCAACCAGAGTCGTGTTTTTCAATCTTACTTCCTAAAACTGTAGGCGGGATGTCTGAATATGCAGCGGCAAACGTGGATGTTCAAGTTACTATTAGTCCGCTGTCAGAGTTCCGAATGGCATGGTCATTTGTTTTAATTTAGAAGCCAAAACTTGATTCAGCTGTTAATCCAACTTGGGTTTTTGGCGCATCAATTCGGCCTTTTTTTTTTTTTTGGTAAATCTTGAAGATGCATAGACCAAACAGAGGACGGAGATTGGAGAGTGCTGTTATAGATTCTTTTTTATGAACAAGGTGTAAACTTTTGACCACATTTTGAGCTTTTAGCGGGGACAGAAAACATGTTTCCCTCAGGATTTAGTAACGCCCTGCCACTTTTTGAACGTTTTCTGCCCAATATGTCTTTCCCTGAGTTAAAGCAGATGAATGATTCAAAAAAAATCTGTCCCGTCGGCAAAATAAAGCATGTGGTAAACTCGAGAGAATTAATGAGAATCAAATAAATGGGACATTTCATCTCAGTCAACACCTTTTAACTCGTAATCTAAACCTATCAACTCTTTTTTATGATGTTTCACCAACTTAAAAGGTTCCAATACTCATCTTTAGATGTTAAAAAATATTTGTTATCTTTGTACAGCTTTTCAAGCTGTTTAAATCAAACCCAAGTCTGAGAGTCCCCAGCCAGACGATTGTATTCTAATGATTAAGATCAATTGCCGTGCCAATATAACCCATACCGGTAGACCTAGACCATAATAAATCCCATTCTTATGTCGTTTTCTCATTATTTAAATCCCTTTGGATTTTGGATAGTTCTAAATTTCCCACCGCTCAAAGATTTTAAGATCATTTTTAGTTCTTTCCCGCAAGTTTTGCATGCCAATTGTATTAGAACTAATCAGAGAGGAACTTATGGCTGATTTAGGCTTATTGCTTTCATATCCTTTGACCCATGTACACATTTCATTCCCATATCAAAAGAGACGTGTAAATAAAGCCTCTCATAATTGATTGATAGTAAAAAATTTCATGCTACCGTCTCAAGCTGGTGGGTCTTGGAGGAACAATATGAACTGTATGGAAGCCGGTGCCGACTAATATTAAGCAGACAATATGTAGGGGTTAGTAGCAGACAGAGGAGTCTTCCTGAATCTTTAGGGTGACTGAATGTATTATTACATATTGCTATCGCAAAATAAACGACAAACAAATACCAACTGCTACCAACCCACGTGAACAAGGGAATAAGAAAGCGTTAGAACAGACGAAAAAAAAAATGATTAGGTTAAATAAAAGCGTACAAGTTGGCTTAAATTCATAATTCAATGGGATCCTGACTTGATGACAAATGTTTAATGGCTGCGCCAACCAAGTGGCATCCCTGCCAATGGGTTGTTCTTGCTATTGAAACCACCAAAATTTTAGACTCGAAAACTAACAAATTAATTCAACAGGTGGCCTATTTTTCTGGTTTTCTTTCCATTAAAATATTGCCAATTTCAGAGCGCAGGCAAATTTCCTGATTGATCAGAACCATGGATTGGAAAGGACAGCTATGTTGAACTAACCACAAATAATGTGCAGGCAATGCCTCTTTGCCTGCAGATTCAGATACAACTTATTAGGTATAACCCGTTTTTTGTTAAATGTTTTATATTTTTGTAAAATGTTTTTAATTGAGGATGTTTGGACACTTATGTTTCAAAATCAATTTTAATAGACATTGATGCTGCTCTTATTCATGAATGGATCCAGCTAGTATGATGGGATGTTTATGGATATCTAAAAATTAAAAAATTAAAAGAATTTACATCCTCAAAATGTTTTTCCATCATATTGTTCATTAATAAATTAATAAATTCATTAATAACATATTATATCATTTATCTATCTATCTATTTATATATAAAAGTATAAATTTAAAAAATAATAATAATAATCGATTTAAATATTTTTATAAAATTTTAAATTAATAAATTTATCCTTAAATATATATAACTTTGATTAATTTATATAAATTTAATTTAAATCAACTAAAATTAAAAAATAAAGTTTATGAGAAATTAAATTACTTAAAATTTTTAAATGTTAATTCTAAAATTGTTAAAAATGATTAACTAAAATATCTTTAGTAAATTTTTTTATATAAGTTTTAATTTAAATGAAACTTTTCATTATTAGACTTTTTTATAATTAGATTAAAAAGTGCTAAAAGTGATTAATTAAATCTTTAATAAAATTTTAATTAAAAAATATTAAAAGTGATTGATTAAAATACCATTAGTAATTTTTTATACATATTAATTTAAATGACTTTATTTTTATTATTAATTTTTTTATAAAAATTAATATAAAATCAAATACAAATTAATTACATCCCTTCACCAATAATAGCATTATATGATTCATTAAATTCTTTAATTATATTTTTCACCTATAAATTAGATAATTTAAAAGATGATGGAGTTACGAATAGTTTAAAATTGAATTCCATCAAATTATTATAAGAAATTTTCATTTTAATTGAAATAATAATTAATTTAATTTTTTCTTAATTTTTATCTTAAACTCCGTTCGATAATTTGAAAACATCTTTTGAAAATTTATTTCTTTATTTACCATTGTTTGGATATCAAAAATCAGTATGGCCAAAGGAAATACATTTTTAGGACAGTTTTTAAAAAAAATTTACATCCGCTCCTTGCTTTAGTGTCTTCCCCGCTAGTCTTTGTGTCTTTGTTCCTTATCAAGTTGCTAAAGTTTATAGGATGGGTTTAAATTTAAATTTAACACAACAAATTCAAAAGATTAATAAAATTAGAAAAAGAAATTAGGCACATTCAAGGAAATGGGTTGATCATACAATAAAATAACTTCAGCAAACCCTGTATTATATCTTCATGGGGCCACTACAATGGATTGTTTGGAATTCTTGCTTTTATTTCGTCAAATCACAATAATTCGCAGCTACTGAACAAAAACATTCTTTTTGCATTGTTTTTAATCATGTGGTCATTGGAGATAGAAGAAAATCAATAACAAAAAAAATATTTTAGAAAATCTTCAGGGGTAGAATTCATCCCGCTATTTATCCATCTTAATGGGTTTTCTTCTTTTAAAAAATGTGTAAACCTCTCTCTCTCTCTCTCTCTCTCTCTCTCAGAGTATCCTATAAAGATAAAGTTGGTTTCTTGGAAGCCACTCCAGATGGTAGTGAATTGATATAAATACATCTTCCAGGAGCAAGCCTGTTATATTGAATCCTTCACATTCAAGCCATCTTTTGTTAATTTCTCTTTGTCATCTTTCTTGTGTTCCTCCAATTGTTTATTCTTAAAAAGTTTTCAATTCTTTGAATTTTTTTTCCCTTGTACATACATAGTGGTTCACTTATATTAACATTGCTTTGAGTCGTCTTTTTCTGTTAACAAATTCTTTGGCTTTAGACTAATTCAATATTTCTTCCACAACAATCATCTTCAAGAGGCAACTGTGCCTCTGAAAAAGAAAAAAGAAAGGGAACTTGGCAAAAATGACAAAGTATTCAATGGAGCAGGAATTTGGTTGTGGTCTAATGGGAGGAATTTTCCAGCGTTGGAACAACCGTTCGAGAAAATCATCAGTACCTACACTGCCTGCAAAAGGCATGAACAAGGTTTTGAAGGAACCAGTCACTGATAAGTCTAAGAAGCCTTCGACCAATGATTCCGGGAGGAGGCGTACCAGCTTTGTGGACTCTGTCTTCCTGGATTCCGCCAACTTGGCTAAACCTTTACCAAAACAGGACCAGAAACCAACCAGGAAGTCTGACTTGTTGCCACCTCGGAATTCAATTTCAAATTCTCACCAGAGAAAAGACAGTAGAAGACCCTCAGATGCTGCAAGAGGCTCAACATCATCCTCATCTGGTTCAAGCCAAGCAAGAGTGTCAAAGGACTTGACTAGTGAGCAAAAATTACTGAAAGAATCCAGTGGAAGTTACTCCAAAGAACTTGCCAAGGTAATCACTACTGATCAACCACAATCAAACAAAAGTAAGGCTCTTATCCGAGCCACTTCAAGCAATATAATGCTAGTAGGCCATTTGGGGAACTTGAGACAGCTTGGAGCTGGGTGTGCTCTAGGGAACAATAATCCTAGAGCAACTATTAAACCTGTGGATGACCTTTATCAGAATTTTCAAGAGGCACACTCCACGCCAAAACCACCCAGAAAAAACAGCTTTAGTAAACTTGGTGGTTCTGTTATGGGCAATATAATAAGGCAGCATAGTGACGAGTTTAAACATTTTCATGGTCCAATAAGTAGATTGGATCCTGATGCATTGAAGAATATGGGAAATGAGGCCTACAAGCAGGGAAGGTTTGAAGAGGCATTGACTTTATATGAACGAGCAATTTCTCTTGATTCTAAGCAGGCAACATATCGGTGTAATAAGAGCGCTGCCTTGTTAGGTTTGGGCCGTCTTATGGAGGCTGTGATTGAGTGCAAAGTAGCTATTCAGCTTGATCCTACTTATTGTAGAGCTCATCACCGTTTGGCAACAATTTATCTCAGGTACCATTCACTAGACTCATATCAAGTTTTGCCTTATACATACATACATACATATATATATATATATATATATGACCATCAGGAGGCAACACAAGGGAAAATCTGAAATTTTAAATCATATTACTTCTCGCAATTCTCTTATGTAATTGTCTGAATTCTGCCATGCAGATTGGGAGACGCAGAACAGGCATTGTATCACTACAAACAAGCTGGCAATCATGCTGACTCTAATGACATTGCTGAAGCTCAGGCTCTAAATCAACGCCTTAAAAGATGCACTGATGCTCGAAAATCAAATGAATGGAATACTTTACTTAAGGAGACTCAATGTGCGATAACCTCAGGAGTCGACTCTGCGCCTGAGGTGAGCTTTCTTTGCTGTTAATATATGCTGCATGTGGCTACTTAAAATGTTTGCCTACGGTCATATTTTGTGATCTATGCCAGGTCTATGCTCTACAAACAGAGGCCTTACTGAAGCTCTACAGGCATCAAGAGGCCTTTACAGCCTACGGCAAAGGACCAAAATTTGCCATTGAATCTTGTATTAATTTCTTTGGCCTGACTGTTAGTGCGTATCTTTTAATGATCAGAGCACTAGTCTGCATGGTTTCTGGCAGGTTAGTAGAAAGAAATCTCTATAATCAAAGTCTAGATACCTATAAGTCTGAGATCAGTTTTCCTTTGCAAATTTTATGTAAAGCATGCTGTTAGGATCTTTGCAAAATAGAGGCTGACTTATCTCGTCATATCTTAATAAATGAGAGTATATTGATTGCTTGATTTTGAAGATAAGAAAAATGTGACAAAAAATCTCATGTAAACTGTCTATTTTGTACAAATACATGCATCCAGGTTATTTTAATTTAAAAACTAATAGTAGACTTCATCGGATGATTATAGGCTAGAAGACGCTATGTTAGCAGCTCAGCATTCAGCCAGAATTGATCCAGGCAACAAGGAAATAAGCCTAGTGGTAAAGAGGACCAGAGCGGTATTTTCAGCTCGATTGAATGGTAACTTGCTTTTCAAGGCATCAAAATTCGTAGAGGCTTGCACTGAATATGGTGAAGGACTAGAACATGATCCATACAATTCAGTTCTGCTATGCAACAGAGCAGCTTGTAGATCTAAGCTAGGTCAATTTGAAAAGGCCATTGAAGATTGCACAGCTGCTCTTAATGTGCAACCTTCTTATACCAAGGCAAGGCTAAGGAGGGCTGTTTGTAATGCCAAGGTAAATTATTCCCACTTCAGAGTTAAGGCCTTTTCTGGAGCCATAGTTGCTCCTGAATTTTCTTGACCAAGTATTCATTATTGTTTCTTTCCTTATCTATAATCAGCTAGAAAGATGGGAAGCGGCAATCCAGGATTATGAGATGTTGATAAGGGAAACCCCTAGAGATGGGGAGGTCGCCCGGGCCCTGTTTGAGGCTCAGGTCCAGCTCAAGAAGCAGCGAGGTGAAGACATTAAGGACATGAAGTTTGGTTCAAATCTAGTTGTGATCTCCAGCAACGAGCGTTTCAGCCACTTTGTGACCTCACCTGGTAAGTAGTCACTAGTCAGGCAACAAATTCTTCTATGATTATAGTTTTTCCCACCTTTGAGCTCATTCCCAAGAAATTTTTGTAGGAGGTAGCGAACAGCTTTGCTCGTTCCCTTTGAGCCCATTGGTGATTCTAATTTGATAGTAATAAAAACAATGAAAACCTTTTATTCAATGACAGGGATGACTGTGGTGCTTTTCTGTAACAAAGCAAAACAGAAGCAAGTTCTGCAACTTATGGAGCAAGTGTGCAGAAGATTTCCATCTGTCAACTTCCTTAAGGTTGTTTTTTCTTTCCGTAGCAGGGTCTTATCTTCAAGTAATTGTTACAATTACATTACCAAAACATCATTAAATAATGGAATAATTAAGTATCTCCTGCTTGAATTTATTGATTGACATTATCAGGTGGAGGTAGAAGATCATCCTTACATAGCTATGTCAGAGGCTGTAAGCTCCATTCCAGCCTTCAAAATATATAAAAATGGATCAAGGGTCAAAGAAGTTCCAGGCAATAACCCTGAGCTGTTAGAAAGATCAGTCAAATTGTACAGCAATTGAAGATAATCAGACAAGATCATAGGGAAGTGGTACAGAGAAGATATGAATATGCATGGGAATGGGAATAGGAAAACTTGTCACCTTTTCACAAAGAAAGTCAACAGAGAAAAAAAGAAAAAACCAATAATGGGGCTATCGTGTCTGCCCATGACTTTGCCGGCATTGCACATAAAGGAGGAAAATTTGCGAGGAATCAGCGTGGCACCTGAGATTTAAATATGCAGAAGAAGATTTTCTTTGCTTTTTTCCTTGTTTTCTTCAATGTTATAAAGGAGAGCATCAAAGAGTTGTTTTTAAGGTTATTCTCACAAAATTTGATCGATGAAATTCTTTTTTCAGAAATTTAAACAAATTCCATTTTCCATTTTCCAATTTTAATTTTAATTTTTAAATTTCTAACGAAGTTGGGCAGCTGAAATGCGAAAAGGAGCCTTGGCCCCTGAATTCAAGTCCAAAGTCTAAAACCCATGGGCTAACCCTATAAATAAATGCTTGGACACAAACTTCAAGTCAACTTTTAAGCCCAAGTTTTAACGTTATTTGGGCTTTTCTTTCTTGAGGCCCATCCTTTTGGGTTATTGAGTTCTCCTTGCTATAACAGTTTTTTGTTGCGTTTTTCCTTCGTATTGACGTTCAGAGTACACTTTGTACAAAGGCGAAGCCTGGTTCAAAGCTTACTAGCAAATTGTAAAACTCTATAAATTCAGAATTTAATTAAATTAATTTATATAAGAATTTAAAAAAAGATACATTTAATAAATTTAAAATTTAAGTTTCAATACTTTTAATTATTTTTTATTTTTAAGTTATGATTTCCTTTGTATAATTTTTTTTTAGTTCAATATTAAGGGTATTCCTTTTTTGTCCTAATAATCTCTCAAACCGTGGGTAAAAAATGGTTGGATCCCATTGTTCTTATTCTTTGTCTTTTTTTTTTTTTTGGGGGGGGGGGGTTTAATTGTCTTCTTTTGATGCATTTTGTCACGTTCAACGGGTAATTAGTTCAATTGAAATGGTTGGATCCTTTGTTTTTATCCAAACCTAATAAATGCGCAAGTAAGCATAGAGGTGAGTAAATGATCGATTCAATTTGAAAAAATCAATAATTAATTTAATTAATTTTTATTTAATAAATAATCGAATCGATCGAATATTATTAAATAATCGATCATAATCGAATTAATCAAAATCGATTCGATTATGTCTGTTCGATTAAATAATCGATTTTTTTAATTTTTTTTTATTATGAATAATTATTTTACCATAAATTCATTTCAATAAAATTTAAATTTTAGTATCATTCAAACTAAATTACTAAAAAATTTAATAATTTTAACAATATTTTACAAAAAAATAAATAAAAATATTTATCTCAATTTTTTATTTTTAATTATTAAAAAATTGATTAATTTGATCAGTATGGTTATCAATTTTAAAAATTAAAAATTAATCAAATTAATCAATTTAAAAAATTAATTATAATTAAAATCAAATAAATCAAATCGATTTAACTAATTTCATTCGATTTCAATTAATCTAATCGGTTCAAACTGATTTTTACTCACCTAGGTGAGCAAAGGCTCAGCCACATGCGCAAGACATAAAGTCAACAACAATTAACGATAAGCTGCTTCTGCATGACAACCAACATAGTTATTAATTATACAACACTATTAATAGGACACGGAAGATTCTAATTTCAATCTTTTTATTTAGTTTGTCCCTAAATCTGCCACAATGTTGAGGCATCTCACTTCGTTTATTTTGAGCAGTTGCGAGAGGATAAAATTTATAAGAAATTATTTAAATGAAATTTGTGAAGTTTTTTTTAAATGATTTAATAAAAATTTTGATGAAAATTTTAAATTGATATATTGATAAAATTTAATATAAAAATCAATAATATACAAAAAAATAATTAAAAATATTATTTATAATTTAAATTTTATCGATACTTATTTAACAAAAAAATTCTATTAGTATTTTTACTAAAAATGCCAATTTTATAAATATATCCAAAATTATTAATTTTTTTAAAACTTTACATATTTATTTATATGATAGGATTTTTTTAATTTATCGATTTTAATATTTAATTTTTATTTACTAACTTTTAATAAAATATTTTACAAACTTTACCTACAAATTTTATGCAAGTATTTGCCGTTGCAAGAAGGCAGATTTGTATCTTAATGGGATTATATAAATTTGATAGCCGAGGGAAAGACAGAACTTTGTAGCAACAAATGCCAATGTGAATCGCAATCGGTTGAAATAATTAAAAATCTATAAATACAGAATCAAAGTACTGCAATGTTTCTTTTTCCCAATTGAGGGATAAATTTGGGTGAAAAAAATAGTTGGTGTTTCCACTATTCAAAAGGAACTAAAAACAAGGTTCTTAACTCAGGGGATGCAAGAACAGCTCATGAATGTACATGGCAGCAAAATCTTTTCCAATTGAAAGAAAAGGAAAGCTGTACAAATTCTGTGAAACAAAATACAAACTTTGAAATCATACATAGAAAAGACAATATACCCAAATTCAAAAGGTAAACTATAGTTGGTGATTAGGTTTGGAATTTTCCGTTCTCAAAAAATAACTCAGATTAAGGGGGGGAAAAGGTTTAAAATGAAGCTCAGATAAATATTTTAGTCACCGGGATAATCATCTCTTCCAACTTCGACTTCGGAATAATGGATCTTTCATTCCACCAACAAGCCATGTCTCTTTGGATATGTCGGATGAAATTTTGTAGAAATCAGGGTCGTATCTTATCACCGCCAAGCTCTCTTTCATCTTTTTGTTTTCTTCTTCCATTAATGACCTCAAATTACTTGTTTTCTTCTCATCTTTCCTCTTACGTTCTTCTTCTTTCTCTTTATCATTTTCTATGTTTTCCTCATTATCTTGGCTCTCCTCTACCCTGTTCTCTTCTAACTTGCTCCTAGCAGGAGCAGACATGCAACGCATAAGCAAGAGGGCATTTGGAGGTGGAATTGCAGCTTGATGATCATCAACACGATCATGGGACCTCTCTTTTGCTTTCTTTTGTTCTTTATAAAACCCGTTGTTTTGATTCTCTTGCAGCACCTTGAACCATTTGGAAAATAAGGTTGTTGATGTCTCATTGCCTTCTAAATGATTGTGGTTTTCTTGGTATTCTTCATCTTCTTCATCTACATCTTCATCATCAGCATTGATATCGGATTGAGGAAAAGACCCGCAACATCGAAAATCGAAACGAATGCTTCGCAAACATGTTAAGAACTGCATGACTTCTTTCTTAAAACCAAATGACTCCACCCAACTTGGCCTTTTTTTATGTTGCCTGCTGTTGTGAATTCTTTCAATCTCTTCCCTGACTGATTGCCAGCTTTTACATGAGCTTGTTTTAGACCTGACTTTGATCTGTCCTGCACACGTGACTTTTGGGGAGGTTGGTTCGGTGATCTCGGATCCCATTTGCTTGTTTTTAGCCCAGAAAAAGGCTAGCTTGGCCGCCAGCTCTACCACCATTTCTGGTGCTTGATTGCTTAAGGAGACGATGGTGGTGATGGTGACGGTGGTGATTGTCGTGGCGCTTGTTGGGTTCTGATGGCCTTGCTGGGCTACAAATGGGCTTCGGCATTGGGGTTAGATGGGCTCAAGATGGGAAACGTACTAGCAAAGCTCCTTTGGTTTCTCTTCCTTTCATGGCAGTTTTGGTTTGTTTCCCTCTTATTCTCTCTGCTTAGTTCAGTAGTTTCTTTTTAGATATTGGACAATGGACACTTATGAACTTTATTTTTTTGTTTCAATGTTTCTGAGGTACGTTTTTGCTTCGGATATTGATTCTGAAAGAAAAGGAGGGAGAAGATCGACAGCTTTCTTTACTTTTGTTTTGACTTTTTATTTGTGTGTCTCTTTATTACCCGGATGTTAAATTTTTCTAGCTATGGGGTCACAGCTCACACTTGAGCTTCATTCATGGCCCTTACTTTTTTTTTCACCAAACACATTAAAAAAATCAATTTGGAAAAAAAGTTGAAGCCCACGAGCTTTATTTAAGGCTCCAATCATACCCTCAACTTGTGAGCCCATGCCAGTTATTCCATGCCCTGTTTGCCATAGTGCCCATAGAAATAAATATCTCCAACAACTACCAACAAAAATATATTGGTCCAATTTCATATTCTCAGGGAGTCCTCGACTAGAAATATTCTTGGTTTGGAAATAAAAAGCTTTATGTGGTTGGAGAAAAGAAGAGGAAGGAATTTGTTTTTACAGCCAAGAAATGTACTAAACTTCTTAGTTTAGGAGATAAAGAGGGTAACCGAAAATCTTTTGAGGGAAAATTGGGATTAAAATAAAAAGAAAGAAAGAAGCTATAATGAAGGGGAGAAATGCACTTGAGAGCAGATGGGAAAGGAATGGCCCCCGCCATCCTCTAACAGCTTGCCTTTGCTTCTGTTTGTGACTTTCCACGTAGGAAGTATAGATATTCTAAACTCTCTTCTTCTTTATGATTTATGGTCTATCATTATCATCTTGGTTGGTTTAGTGCTCGTGGGAATGCAAAGTTGCAAGCCTCGGGGGTTCATGCAATTTTCTAGAATGTTGGGTTTTGACAGTTTGTCAGCTTTTTGCTGGCCGTCCCGAACCTGTCAAATGTGATGAGATATTCAAAAGTACCATCCAAAGAAAAAACAGTTGTTTTTAAACTCTATGATTAACATTTTATTGAGTATATGATTTATGTGCAAATTTTTTTCAACTCATAGGAAAATATAAAAAGCCTTCGGTAATGCTTTGAAATGCTGCGAAAGAATGCACAGTGAAACATTTGATAATTCAGTCGTAATTATCAAATTTGGAGTGACTAACGAAGAATCACACACCAAGAAAGAAAGCCTACTTGAAGGCACAGAGGAATGGATCAAACTCAGTAAAAAAGCTGCAATTGGGGGGGACTATGGTGATTGCAGTGTTGACCTTGCACAAATTTGAAGACTCCTTTCCATGGAATCTCAGTTGCGTGGAACAGGGGATCCAAAACTATTGAGATTGAGTCCGACTCATTCAACTCGGTGATGATGACCAAGGAACCACCACTGTTTCTGCCTGATTGAAGCCATCAATGAGATCCTACAAAAAGAGTGGACATGGAAGCTGCTACATGTTCCTTGGCAGCAAAATTTTTAGCAGATTAGATTGGAAGGTCAAGTGCCGTCGTTTTTTTCCTCTTGCAAACATATTTCATCTACTCTTTCTGGGTGACCACACTCCTATGCATGCATTACATTCCATGTCAAAAACTTCAAAATTTTTTTTTCACTTGAAAATGGTTTGTTTGTTATTTGTCTTCCTTTCTGGATTCTCGTTTCTTGCTTGAAATAAAGAGAGAGAATGGAAATACCAAGGCAAAGCACCATGAATAATTAATGCTTTCGCCGATGGAAAAAAGATATCTATAAACAAGGAAATAATAATTTGATAATTGCTAAAGAAAAAATTGTCACTAACTTTTTATCTCAAATCACATTTCTCTATTTTTTATTAAATTAATTTCTTTTTTTTTTTTTCGATTAAAGATGTAAATGATATATTAGTATTCATAAATTATTTAAGTTTGATTTGAATAAAATTCGAATTCGGTTCGATTATTATTGAATCGAGCTCAAACTCGAGTAACTCGATTCATCGATTGAGTCGAATTCGAATATTATTCTATCCGATTCGAATAGTTCGTGAGGTTAATTAAATTTTTATATTTAAGTATTTTTTATTATTTTAATTAATAAAATATCTCAAATTTGAGTTTAAGTTCGAGTTTAAGCATAAATAATCAAATTTTTATCGAATATAAGAATCGAATTTATTTTTATATATTAATTGAGCTAATCAAATAAATTTAAGTAATTCGATTTCGGTCATGAATCGAACTCAAATTAAAAAAATAAAATTTAATCGAATTTAATATCAAATTACAAATTAAAAATTAAACTAAAATTTAAACTTTTTATTATATTGATTTGATTCGATTCATTGCACCTTTACTTTTAACAACACATACGGTGACCTTGCTGTTAGATGTGGCAATTGTGAGTCAGACCCGATCACTTTTGAGGCTATTTTCGATTTCAAATGATGGAATATTTATGGTTTGAAGCTTAAATTAAAATTAAACAATCAAATTTCATCATATAAGAAAAATAAATTCAAAATAAATCTGACGATACTAGATTGAAAAACAACCTCAACTTTTGTCAGATCTAATATAAAACAAATGAGAATTTCAATCAAAGACGAAACCGGAGGGGTGTTCAAGAAGGTATCCAACGTTTTCAATAACTCAATTATGCTTGTTATAGATAAGCATCACTTTACTAATTAAATCAAGTACAATATAAGATATAACTAATTAAGTTGACAGCTATCCTGGTGTTGATAATAATTGATTTCCATTTTTGGGGAATTGGTCCACTAGGAATAGTAGTATTTTTTTATTATAATTTTCCCCTTATCCTCAGAGTTGCACTGTCACCTCCTACCGGCATAATCCTATCTGACACGCAATGCAAGACGGAAATTAATCTTCCTAACGCTATATATTCATTTCAAAACCAAACTAAAAAGTTAGTCTCTTTTTAAATTTTTTTCTTCCGAAATAAGCTAGTAAAAGAAATGGGTCCATACTCATCGGAGAAACTTATACTTGTGACCCGTGAACCTAATGGGATCGCGACTGTTACCATCAACCGACCCGGATCCCTCAACTCGTTGACCCGACCCATGATGATTGATCTTGCCCATGCTTTCAAGGCGCTTGGAAAGGACGACTCCGTGCAGGTTATCATCCTGTCTGGATCAGGACGGACCTTCTGTTCTGGAGTGGATTTGACGGCAGCGGAGCAAATTTTCAAGGGTGATGTGAAGGACCCGGAGTCAGACCCGATTTTTCAGATGGAGCAATGCCCCAAACCCATTATCGGTGCCATCAACGGGTTTGCGATAACTGCCGGGTTCGAGATCTCACTCGCTTGTGATATTCTGGTTGCTGCTAAAGGAACCAAGTTCTTGGATACTCATGCCAGGTTTTTTTTATTTTATTTTTCTTTTAATAAATACTAAGCTTGTACTAATTAGTTAGTTATGGATCAAATACTAGTTTAGAAAACTAGAGTGGGTAAATTGTGATTTGGATAAACATGGCAAAGAGTTGCCGCTGCTTACTATTTGTACTACAAATTAATTTAAACTCAACATGCCAAAGATAAACAATCGAAGCTTGAATGTATTATGTGCTGAATTTGTGTGTTTGAAAAATGTTTGTAGATTTGGGATATTTCCTTCATGGGGGTTATCCCAGAAGCTTCCCCGCATTATAGGACCACACAAGGCTCGTGAAGTATCATTGGCAGCCATGCCTTTGACGGCCGAGGAGGCTGAGAAGTTGGGGTTTGTCAATTATGTTGTTGAGGAAAGTGAATTGTTGAAGAAAGCTCGACAGCTTGCAGTAGCAATAATGAAGAATAACCAAGACATGGTTATTAGGTACAAGTCTGTGATCAATGATGGATTCAAGTTGGATCTCCATCATGGTCTCGCGCTGGAGAAGGTATTCATTTCAGTTATTTTTATCTTTTATATCAAGTATAGGATTGGTTAAAGTTTTGAGGATGGTGTATTCTTGGCTCCCCTTTGTTTTAAGACTTAGATGGAATTGGTTTTAAACATTTTATCATTAGCGAATACTGCAGTTTCAACTTTCAAGTTATTCTAGCTTGCAAAAAATGTATCAAACTAAGAACTAGTTTGCATTATGGCTAAGCCTGAGCCTGTGTCAGATTGTGTATCTACTCATCTTATTACCTTTAAAACAAAGAGATTTGATTGCTTCAGTTGATACATACGCCAACATCATCTTACCAGTTATGAGGATGAGGGTCTTTCATGTTTGTTCCCTTTTTTTCTTTTATCTGCGGTGACGCTATAAAGGCATGTATTTTCCTCTTTTGTTTAAGCAGTATGTACCTTGTTTAATGTTCACCAATCAAGAGTAAACATGGATTACAGCCATAGAGAATTGAAGGGATTAAGGGAAGTCAATAAAAGAAATGACCACTGCATATCAGTGGCAGCTGATTGTGAACATTGTTTAAAGAAGTCTCTTGAGCATTACGTCCTTGTAACTTAAACTTATTTGATTGGTTAATCTTTTTTGTATATTTAAGCTAATGTTACTCAATCTTAATCTTCTTTTTCAGGAGAGGGCTCATAAGTACTACAATGGAATGACCAAGGAACAGTTTAAGAAGATGCAAGAATTCATAGCTGGGCGTAGTTCCAAGAAAGCATCTTCCAAGTTGTAATCCATGGATATTCTGTCTTCCCGTTTAGTCACTGTATTAAAAAAACAATGTTGCGTCCACCTAATCTGGGAAATAAATTCTTGGTTACTGGAGTAGCCTTGTTTGATGAGAACTCTTTCAATTACATAAATATTGGTTCTGCCAAATCGAGGAGGTTTGGTTTTGAACATAGTAAGGCCTTATTTGAAAGTGCTAATTTGAATTCTCTCGTCTCCAATATATGTAATTACTATTAATTATATTTATGCCAGTTTTAAATTAAAATCAATTCTTAGTAGCCCCTTAAGTGAAAGCTTTAGGTTACCATTTTGTGTTCGGGAAAGAACAGAGACGTGAAAGAAACAGAGGATTAAAAAAAAATGAAAGGTTAGAGTGAAAGAATCAGGGAAGGCGGGATGGGGAGAGCACTTTCATGGATTTATTTTTGATCTGTTACCAGATTTTTAAGAGGGAGATGACCAGATTTTGATCTCTAACTTCTGGATAGGCAGTGGATCACATCATCGACAAACAAGGAATAAGGCGGGGACAGAACAAAAGAGAAGGAAAAAAAAAACAAAATAAAAGAGAAGAAAAGGAAAGAAAAATGCAGTGCAAATGAAAAACTTAATAGTAAGTCAAATATGTTTCTCGCTGCTCTTAGGATGTTGAGTTCAGCGAGCGAAGAGAGTTGGGAACTCGAGTTGAAGCTTTTTAGGAGGTTGGGTTTTTTGTGAAGATGATATCATGTTTACTTTTAGGAAGACACCCGAGGTGTTTTCTGTATCACAAAGGAAGAATAAGGAGGTCACAGTGAGTTTTTGCTTAGCAGAAAGAACATAGATATTTCTTTTATAAATAAACCACCCGACGGTGCTCATATGTAGTCTTGAGATTGGGCTAAAGCTTCGACTACTGATTGTTGAGATTCTGGAAAGTAAAAATTTGCTAAGCAGGAAACTTAGTTTGACTACAATTTTTACGATTTCCGAACTGGAAGCGTTTCCGAGAGAAATATGTTCGTCATTATTTAAGAGAGCTTGAGAAAGCATTCGTGGCTATTGTGGGCTCATAATTATTGTTGGTTGAATTTGTAAATTCACATATATGGTTTTTACATTATGCGTTGTCATAACAATTAGTTTATAGTTTTTGCTATTGAATTTCTATCCTGGAATGTCGTAGTTTTGTTTGTAAGGTGGATTTGGATTTGACCTATTGTAGGCAACTGTCAATCAGATTTTTTATCAATATAGCATATGCAAATGTAATCAGAGGCAGAACCTGGATTTGCTGATGCTGACATATTTTTAACAAGGAAATTACATGAATCCATGTTTTACACAGACAGATAGCAGAAATACATTTGAATAGAAAAGCATCGAATAGAGTTAACATGTTTCCACGGCAGTGCAAAACATGTAAAAGATGTGATGATACGTTTGTAACTTCTGCTGCTTTGGTGCTCAGCATTGGATGCAAATGTGAGTTTAGCGTTAACAAGAAATATGCATTTGTATGATGATTGAATGATGCAAATGAATTTGATCTATAATATCTCTCAAGCTTCAAATTTACACGATTATTATATACAAATATAGAAACAACACAAACAAACCATATGTAGTAGTTGTAGTAATCAAAAGGAGTTCGTTTCAAGAAGATAACTTCTAACCTTGAGCAATTCCCTGACAGCATCACCATAAACCCCATTTCCGAAAGCCTTCAATGCCAATTCAGCATCTTCCATGTCTGCTTCCCTCCCAGTCTGCTCCCCATCTTCCACTGCCCTCACCACCACCAACGTGGCACCCATCCTGGGCTCATGCCTCATCCTTATCCTCACACTGGGGACCACCGTCCTCCCCCTCTCCTCCTCCTCCTCCTCTCCTCCATCCTGCAACTCCCACGCGCCTTCCTCCACTCCCTCAACCCTTGTTGTTCCACCATCACCACCCCTTCCCCTTCTCTGTCTGTTAAAACTAACTCTTCCATTCCGTCATGATCCTTAACGACTTCCCGTAACAGGAAATGCCTAACAGACGCCGCGATCAACGCGCTTATTGTCCACATCACGCGCGTCTTCAACCCTCCTCCGAATTCCGCTTCGTAATTTCCGTTATTATTATTTCCCAAACGGAACCCTAAAATCACGCAGCTTTTTAACGTTTCACCGAACTCGGCCCTCCACTTAACGACCGTGCCTTTCTCTAAGTGAAGATCACCGGCCGGTAATTCCACGTGAAGCTCCCTGATTCGTTGGAACCGGGAGAGAATTTGTACCGGGTAAGTGTGCGTCTGGTTACGAAGTTGGCCCAGGGTAGGCTTGGGCAAGATGAGGCAGAGGAAGGGCTTGAGGAGGGTGAGGAACAGCGAGTCGGAGTCAGACTCGGACGAGATGACGCGGTCGATTTTTAAGAGGAGCGACTCGGCTTGTGGAACGAGTGAGTTGAATCTTTTAGAGACGGAAAGACAGCGTATCAGGGTTTTGACGTCGGCTACAGAGTTGAAGATCAGGAGGATCAGAGAATCCGGTAGCCGATCAAAGCCGTCCATTTTCTGTCTTCAGTTTTGGCCTGGGTTTTCAAGCTTCGACAATGATGATAAACGGAAAAGAAGAGGGCATTAAGGAGATCTGGAACCTGGAGGAGTACATCTGACCGTTGAGCGTTAAAGCGTGGGGCCCCTAATCCTTGTTTTGAGTGTTGAAGTGGCAAAAAGAACTGTTAATACAATCTCAAAATGGGAGGATTGGATTTAAAATTTTGGGTTTGTTTTATTAAATGATATCATAAATGGTTTTTAATCTATACTTTATTTCCAATAATCTCATTGAAATATATAATTAAAGGTTGATCATCAAGTGGTTAAGATTGTCCAATTAGAAAAATATTGTTTGGTGAAATTTGTGTTGAGATATTGAAGATATTTTATATAGTAGATAGTATCTTAAAGATTAGTTTGAGATCTGTATCTTACATAATTTTCTAAGATCATAGAAATAGTTTTTTTCTCAATTAATATGCAGGCAATTGAGTTGGGTTATCGTTGCAAAGGACGGCCAGGCCTCTGGACGATGTTTGAAGACAGGCACAATGAAAAGAACCCATTGGGCTGATGTGTACACCAAATCTGCAGTCGGTGAGTAGGCCTTGGCAGCCTGTTAACTGTCTTAGTTTCTTCTGTTGCTATGGACTTCATCTGGCATGCATCCAGCAGACAAAAAATACATGATCCATTGATTTTCTATATTGTTGATCCTCGCAAGAAAATAAAATCATATTTTAAACTGTTTGTTTTTTATTTTTTTGAAATTCAAACTAATTAAATTTAATAAACTAATCCATTGTATGTTGTAAGATATATAATTAAACTGATACGGGCATCCGGTGAGCTACCCTTTTATTTAGCCCCTGGATCAGTTGACCCAGTAAATAGCCTCTAAAAATAGTTCATGATTTGATTTCAATCAACAAAAATTATCAAATCTTTCCTCCCTCTCAGCCTCAATTATTGTTGTGCCAATGAAAGCAGCTGAGCTGCCATCACCTCCCATGCAAAGTCACCGCCACCTCCAATATTCTCCTACAGCTCCTACACCACCCTCCTCCTCTCCTCTCCACCGCTGGTCATCTTTCTATGGAGGAGCGGGTCACTTTACCTACCTACATCAATAACCCAATCCCTCATCAAGAAATTGTACAGGTCCAAGTCCAACAACCCGAGCCTGTGTTTAGGCCAGGAACCTACATTATTCAGGTTCCTAAAGATCAAATCTACCGCTTGCCACCCCCCGAAAATGCATTGATAGCTGAAGGCCATCGAAACAATTATCAAGGTAATAATAATAATAATAAACGGTGTTGTTCTCATCCCTGGACTTGGCTTCTTGCCCTTGTCATTCTTGTCCTGGTTCTCGCCATCCTTGCAGGGATTGTTTATATGTACCTTATAAAACGTTAAGCTAAAGCATTAGATCATGTCATTGCCAAGAACTTACAGATATTTCTATCTGAAGAAAGAGTTTGGTAAAACGTTAGAAATCAAAATGAGAAATTCCTGGGATTTTTGTATATATGGAGCTGCTTCTCTTTTTCTCAATTTTAGGCAGACACCAGCTGATAATTCTACAGATGTTGCTCTATCCATATAGTTCCCTTAATTTGATGGTAGATACATACACTAGCAAAAAAGTTATATCAAAATCCTTTGATGAAACTGTCCAATCCAGCGCCAAAACACTAGCAAAAGAAGTGGCAGAAACCAGAAAGTACGGCAACGATAAGCCAGCGGCAATATTGGTGGTGATAATTTCAATTAACTATGAAATTTAATCCTAATATTATTTGGTTTACACTTGAGATGCTCTGAAGAAATTATTGAAGGTTTGCCTTTGTACATGCAAGAGTGGCCTGCTGACTTGTTTATTTTTGTAGTCTAATCCAGCATTTTAATAAGATTTTGTTTTCTTTGACTTTTATTTAGTTATTTACTTTTTGGTTTTCCACAACATGTACATTATATGATTATCGATCATCACTTCATCACATTAATATTGCCATTGGCAAGTCTCGGAACTGAATCCGAGCTGCTTGCAAGTGTTTTTTTTTTTAGGCTAAATGAAAATTTTATTTCAGAATTCAAAACAGATACCAATCTGCCATGAAAACAAAAAATAAGAGGTAAGCTGGATTGCAAGATTGTTGATACTTAATTTTGTTGAGTAGTTGACTTGAGAAATAATCACCTTTAATCCATTTCCAAAACTTACTTTTGTTTCCATTCAACATTACTTAGTAGAAACGTACATTTATGCTAGAGATGTCTTATCAAACCATAATATATTTTGGTTAAAAAAAAAATTATCTATAATCTATAAACGTATCGCTACTATGTTAGATGCATTTTATTTGACTTTTATCTCTTGTCATTTTAATTTCTTATGCAAAGTATTTTAGATTCTCTATCAAAATAACAATACAGTGTCCAATGATGTGATCTGTTAATAAAATATTGATTTCAATTATCAGGATTTAGATTTTGATAACGTAAAAAAAAAAAAAAAAAAAAAAAACAGTACTTACGAGTTCAGTTTCCACTTTTCTCTGGTCTCCTCGTTACTAACTGGAAGTGAATTCAAAGCTAGCTGATGAGAACTGATTAAGAAATAATTTAATGGTAGCAAAGATTTATTTTAAGTCTGCAAAGCAAATACAAGACCTTGATACAGCACTTCAAGGTTATTAAATATGGTTTCCATATATACATTTCGGATTTATTTTTGTTTTTGACAAACATTATTGATTAATTGATTCCTCAAACCAGCTGCACTGCTTGCTCGCTGTTAAATTACAATAAGCCTGCATCGCTAGGCTGGGCATGACTCGTGGCAATTACTTAAACAACCCAAATAGGGTGACATAACAAGTCCTTCCAGATTCAAGTTATAGCTTCGTTATTTTTTTGCTTCAAAAATAAACCATGGGAGGTGCTTGGCCGTCTAATTATATTAATACTAGTTTCTTTTTTAAAGGTGTGCAAGATCTCTTTCTGATCTCTTTTTTAGGTACAAGATAAAAAAGAAACACTACGTGGCTACAATACATTTCAAGCTTTAAAAAGAAACATCTCGCTCTTCATCTACCAATTATCACCCTACCTAAGTCCAGGTGCCTGTATGTTTTTGAATAGTAGCAGAGATAAACCGCTTTAAAGGTGGGAACCTTTTCAGTGTCAATACCTGATCTGATCATAATAGATCAATATGGAAATGGTGGAAAACAGGCCCCCACCTTGGCTGGTTTAAACAGGTCAAAAAATACAACTAGAATATGGTAATCTATGTACATTGGCTTCTCTCTTTTCAAAACTTTGAGACCAAAAAACTTAATATTAATGCCTTTTTTTTAATTAAAAAGCTGGGGTTCTTGAGTTAGCAAGGCCTAACCAATATGAATTAAGCTGCCTTTCACATTACTGCTTAATTGGCTTAGATCAGTTTGTGTTGTTAGGAGAATACTAGATCTGTGATTCATCATTTGTGTGCTTTTTCTGTCAGGGGGAGGGGTAATCTTTTTACGGTAATGATGATGGGTAAGATGCAAGCAACAAACAAACCCGATATACAAACACCTGATAAATTTGCTCCCTCTACCAAGGTCATCTGGATCACATGGGAATCAGATTATATATATCCAATGTTAAACCATCCCCACCCCAAAATTGACGACATCCGTACAAAGAAAAACCTTGATTACTATTATTCATATCCGAATGCAGTCCCTTTGCTCGGCCCTCTATGCGGGGACCATCCATCCTTGGCGACACGCATATGAGAGATTTCATTATTCGAGCATCTCTCAAAGCCGAAAACAATGCTACAGCCTACAGGCTAGGACCATTTTCTAGGAAGCAATCACATCAAAAAACCAGAGGCGTATCATTTTATTAAACAGAGAAGAAGAATCGGTTTTTATTTTTTATTTTTCAATTATGGGCATGGGATTCAACTGTTCCACATCATGGGTTTGAGGCAGCTGTGAGCCTGTAACTCAGGCAACTGGCATGCAAAGGGTTTTATAAAACCGGTTAAGAGTTAATTAATAGTGTGAAGCATACAATGGTTTGTTGGGAGCAGGAAGGATGAAACCTAAAATAAACATGCCACTTGGTATTTAAATGAATTTCCTCGAAAATCCACGTTATAGGAGATCTAACATGTTCTATTTTCGAGACACGGAATAACTACTGTCCGGAAATGATCTGAGTGAAAGCTGTTTAATCAAATGGGATCACTAAGTGAGGCTCAGTTGGTTGTGAAAGGGAAGTGGTAATTCTTTTCCTCCAATAATTGGAGCTTCTGCTACATAGTTTATTTGAGTTAGACACAATGATGGGTTGAATCTAGTGGTACCTTTCTTTACACGTATGAAAGAGCCAGAGAGAGATCTCATGGCTTGAAAGCATATATGTTGGATGTCCCCATTGAAAATCCATGTCCATGTCCTCTTCAAATCAAGCACTTCAAGTGGATTCCAACTCCTCTTCAACCATGGATTCCCCTTCACCTAGTAGTGCGTATCCTTTTCACCACCTAACGTTCTGAAAAATATAACCATTAAATATATAGAAATTAGATCCATTATAATAATAAAAAATAATAAAAACAACTTTAAGATTCCTTTTTAATCTTTTGAGGTGGGCTCTCTCAAATCCAAGTGCCCAATGAGGTTGGTCTTTACTTCTGTTTGTAAGCAATGGCTTTCTTTCCCACTCCTTCACTCCCCTAATAACTTAAACATGCACAGATCTCCTGCCTTTTTTTAATGTGTTTTAAGGATCATTTTTATGGTCCATCACCCAATTAGCCTATGTTTCTGCCTTTAAAAACAAAAGCTCTCCGCTTTTGTCTGTACTTAGTTATCTGCTTAAAGACATAACAATTGTATTTTACACATCTCCTTGTACCCAGTAATGGTGCCAATTCTCCTTGTCTTTTTTTTTTTTTTTAATTTTTGCCAGAGTTCTTATTAATTTGTTGTGTGAGACAAAGGGCTGTAAGATATATAATAATATTCATCACAGGTGGCTACAATAAGATGTATGGAGGTTGGAAGTTAGAGCCTTTGGGAATATTAGAATATATATATATATATATTAATTTAATTTGACTTAAACATCAAATTTTGCTGGGATATATTATTTTCGATAATTACGACATTATGCTTATTACTGTTAAAATGTGGATAAGATTATTACTAAACGAATCTACTATCCCCATTTGGAATCTGTTATTGATCTTATCTTTAGTCTAAAAGATGACAAAGTACCTCAACCGGATAGGTTGGTCATGTTGGTCAGGGAGATAAAGATTTTTCCATGGGTATTATGACCCCATGATTGAGGTTTGGCTTTATGATTTGAGTACTTGTGCTAAATGTCCAATTCCTAGCTAGGTATTATTGGATGGGAAACTTGGATAAAATGGTTAAGTGGGATTAACATTAGTAATATTCAAACAAGAAGCAATTGCCTTTTCTTCAAGTTTTCAAGATGCTGATCAAAGTTTTGTTTTTTTGTGGTCATTTTACCATCAATCTATGTATGTAATTATTCATTGATTAAGGGGTCCCATTCTTTAGAATCCAATTAATCACAAATAAGAATAATTACAAGGTCAGTGCAATATGTATAATTTGTCATAAGCATTGGGGGGACATTTTAGTGCACGCGTTCTCAAATGGGTTGTATATACAAGATAAATAATTCCTTACAAAAGTGGGAAAATGTGCACAAGAAATTTCAGATAAACACTTGAGGTTCTTGCAAACCATTTGAAAAAATAAATATATAATTTGCATGATGCTTTCTTTGCCAAACAAAGAAAAATATCCTTCTATGAAGAAAATGAGTAAGCCATTGATTGATAGCATTTTCATCAAAGAGGGTTTTGTGCTATAGTCCACATGTCACCACTTGGATACATTATTTATTAGTCCTCAGAAAATGATGGGTCTTTGATCGAGCTTCTAAAGAGAGTTCCTTGTTTTCTTTACTCAATTATAAGCCAAAATATTCAAACCTTAAAGCAAGAGAATTTACGTGATTAATGTCTCATTAGAGCAATTTTTGTCTGGTTCTCCAGGTATCTTTACAACTGTTAAAGAGATGCTCTCCCCATTATTTTGAGTAATCAAACGCTGGGTTCTAATTATTGTAGCTGTAGGACTACTCCAACTTCAACAGCATTTCACATTTGATGAGTTTTTTTTTTTTTTTTTGGCAATATATATATTTGTAGGAATTCCATTCCATTTCTTGGTGTGATTAATTGTAGTAAAATACACAAGAAGTAACAGACCTTTTTAGGTTTTAAAACATTACCTGGAAAATGGTCCCAAGGGAAAGCATTTAACTAGTTTAATAACTTTCAGGAATTATTGGATTCTCATTGCATGAACTTATTCAGGAAAGCTCCAAAATGTTTAAACTGTAATAAGTTTGAATTTATCATTCTTTCTCCAAATATTGGTATCGCTTTCTTTGTTTCTTTCTTTATCACACAAACATGCATACGATCATGTGCCTGTGCAAGAAATCTTATTATTAGCTATGATTCTAGCTGATGCCCCACAACATAGGTGTCATATAACAGGATGTGCGACAGTTTCAAATTTTACTGGTTCAATTGCTGATTGATAGTGGCAAGCCATGGAAATGCAAATAACATCACTTAATTAGCTAGCTGTTTATAATTAAAAAACTTTCTTTAATAACAAAATTACCTTCTTTTTTTTTTCTCCAAAATATAGAATAAGTCTCCAATTGTAGATTTTTTTCCCTTTTGAAAAAGGAGGGATTTCCTGAGCACTTAAAACTAAGAAATGACATGTGTTGTTACAATGGTCAAAATAGCACGTGCATTGTTTCATCGTGAAAGATATACCATCGTTTTTCATTTGTCTGGTCAAGATATATGAGAATATTTCATAAACAAATGGCCATGCACAGATACAAGAGAAAAAGAGAGAAATTGATAGAAAGATTGTTCAAAAAATTTCAAAATTATGGAATTCTTGTTCTTTTTTCTCATTTTTACCAAATTATATAGCCTCTGAACATGGTAGTTAATTACAATTAGAAACTCTCTAAACAAGAAAAAACATAATTAATTAATTCATTCCACCCTTTAATCAGATTTTTAGGGGTGGGATTCAAATATTTTCTGTATGTCTAAGCACATTTAGCAAATTATGGTGCAGGTGCTCGTTGTGACAATTTTTTCCAGTCCACCAAACGACGCAAAAACTCCTTGACCTGTAAAATTATAAGAAAAAAAATTTTATGTTAGTCCAAAATTAATGTTCGAAAATAACAAATAAATGTTATCAGATTAATGAAGGAAATTGCACGCATGCTAAGATTAGTGATCTTTCCTCAGATGGTTCTTGTAGAGAATAGGAAGCATTTGTTTCCTTCGGTACTTTGGAAACAAGAATCCCAAACCCTTGTCCTCTATCACGTAAAACCTGGTCATAAAGCAAGGCAAAAATTATATGTTTAAACTGACTTGAAATTAATTCAATTATAGAATAAGCTAATTTTAGCAGCATGTTCTAATTATAATTAGATACCTTAAATGCATCTTCGTCGGATTGATCATCGCCAATGTAGACTGGTAAAACATCTTTTGAATTGGCATATCCTAAATAGATAGAAATAATAATAAAATTAAGTAATTTTAGTAAGATGATATATATTTTTTAAGGTATAGTAAAAAAAATATATGTGACAGTCTATTAATCCATTTATAAAATTAAAAATTTTACAATCAACGTATAAAAAACGATCTCATAAAATAATTACGAAGGCAGTAACTGAGTAAATAAATCACCTAGTGCCTCCAACAAAAATTCCAGGGCTCTTCCCTTGTCCCATTTGATGGTGGGACGGATCTCTAATACCTGTTTGAATCAAATTAAAAAGATGGTTCATTAACCACATTAATGACCAGCTATACTTTATCAAGATAAAAACAAAATGAAGCAACTTTTTTTCTTCTTTGAGAAAAGCCTTATTATCCATGAAAAATGGGAAAAAGGGAAGGAATAAAATAAAAAGGGAATTTATACCTTCCTCCCTTGAGTTAGTTTAAGCTTAGGGTACTCGTTGAGCACTGATCTAACTTTCTCAGCTAATGCAGCCCAACTCTGCCAAAGACAGGAAATCATTGAAATTGGCATTGAAATGTCCGAGGGGGATTTTACCACAGAAGAAAGAAAACATGGACAAAAGTGGGTTTGAGTTCTTCTACCTTTTCATCCACACAGCGAAAGTGTACGGAGACACAAAACTTGTTATTTTCAACCTTGGCTCCTGGAATGGAAATTGTTTTCTCTACCAGGGCTTGGTACACCTAAAAATTAGAGAAAAATGATGTTTCCTGAATTAGCATTGTTCTTTGTCGTGTCTTTTTAGTTGTTACTTTGTGAAATCAAGCAAGAAGATGGTGGGAGACAACAAACCTCATCAATCATGGGCAAGAATTCACTGGCAGGCTGGAAAAGAACTCCCTGGTTACCCTGAATAACTCAAAAGTTGGCAGTAAAAAACATGTATTAGAAGCAGCCAAGGAAAGAGAAAAAAACAAAAAAAAAAACAAACAAAGAAAAAGGGGGTTATTACTGATGAAGGAAAAGGGCAAAAGAAAAAAGAGTACGATGGATTAAACTGCAGAAGTAGTACTCTGATGTTCTTACTTTCTTGTATTTGCAACTTTTAGATGGTCCCTTTATGTCCATACCATGGCTACCAGCATAATAAAGTCCAGCCAATTTTACAAAGTTGTAAACCTGTTGAATCCCACGATGAAAATAATCAATCAACATTTTTAACTTAAAAAAAAATGCATTAATCAAATAGTATGAAGTATGAACTGTAAGTTTTTCACTTCAAAAAAATGTACCTTGTCTCTGCACCTTCCGGTCACTATCGCTGTTGGAAAATTTCTTGCAACGTCTCTAAGAGCTGCTCTCATCTGATTAGAAATAAAGAAGTTTTGCCAAAGAGAATGAATCAATAGGAGTTTTTGAGTTGCGCAGCTGATCAACAGTAGTGGAATAAGAACAAACCTCTCTTGGCATGAAAGCTTGATCCGGGTCTTCAACGATTGGAGAGAGCGTGCCATCGTAATCAAGAAACATCACAATCTGTTTTCCATTTGAAGCAGCCACTATTTGCTCAAACATGCTCAAAGCTGAAGGATGATGAACCTGTTTTAGGAATAGACAAAAAAAAGGGGTTATTACTAATTAATGCTAATTAAAACGATATAACAACATCATCTGAAGAACTCGGGAAGTAATTAATATGATGGAGAAATGGAACCTACAATCCAGGAAGTTTTCTCATCATTTTCAGGTAAGGAAGCTGTAGACTTGATTCGGGTAGGTGAAGAAGCTCTCATAGAATCCACCCAGGCATTGATTTTAGCCCCTGCTTTCTCAGTTTCAAACCTCTTCTTCATCAATAGCATCTTAAAGTCTTGTGCTGAAAAGGGCTTTGTCACTGTCAGAGATGATGGAGGCAACACATTCCTAACACCATGCAATTTCACATCAAGAACCACCACATTTTGTTGGTTAGTCATTCTTCTTAACTTCTTCTTCTTGCCAATCCTCTGCATATGTTTAAAACCCAAAATCAAAATTCAGACCCAGGTAGGCAAAAAAAATAAAATTTTATACATCTATTTGTCAAAGAAACATCAAATTTTTAATGCCTGGGCTTTATACCTGGACAGAGTAGAGAAAGAAACAGAGGAGAAAAAACAGAGAAGATGGCAATGTGAGATCTTAGGCTACAGAAAAACAACAAAAGACAGGTTTTTAAATAGGCAAAGGGCTTAAAGGGAGAGGTGTGGAGAGGAAAAAATAAAGATAAAATTACTCGAAAGGAAAGGTTAAAATCACAGAAGCGCACTAACACTCAACAAGTCACAAGAAAAAATGAGGTTGTCTAGTCAATTTATAAACTTGGCTTCACGGCACTAAGCAATGAAACAGCCATAACTTTCTTGGCCTCCTGTAGTTTCGACCTCAGCATTCACCCCCCCCCCCCCTTTTTTTTTTTTTTGAATTGAGGGACCACTGATCATATCCCAAGGAATATTTCTCACCCTTAATGAAAAGATGGGTTTTTTTTTTTTTTTACAGCAATTTTTGTGTTGACAAACGATAAATTTTGTACTTAAAACTTGTTGCTGTTAAAGTTTGGAATAAACTAATTCGCCATCATTGATCAACAGGATTTTAAGGATTAAACTGTCTTATTCAATTTCAAAGGTACCAAGCTTCGAATATCAAAATTTTCAATTTTTTACTACCAAAAAATCATTAGCAAGTACATGATTTTGCCTTGTTCAAAACCTGTTTTAAAAACGAAAAAAAAAAAAAAAAGTAAATTGTGCAAGGTTTTAATAGCGGTCAATGCAATTTTCATTGATTTGTAAGCATCGCAAAAGACTCATTCAAGCAACCATCTCATCACAAGAAGGACCACTTGGGGAGTCCCACGTCGTTCTCTGTAAATTTGATTGTTTTGAGGTGTTGACAAAACAATGGAGAGTAATATGTACCTTGACGAAGTTGTTACTTTGGGTGCAATTTTTGAATTATTCTTTCTTTATATGTTGCATTGTTTCCTATAATGTATGAATTCAACAAACTTTTTTGCGGTCTAGCAAATTAATGTAGTCGTATTTAGGTATTAGGTATGCATGCATGTTTCACGGTTAGACCATCAGGCATAAAGTCAAGTAAAATGACATGAAGAAAAAGGGAAAGTTTGTCAATGGAATTCTATTTAAAGGGTAATTAAAGGATTAGAAATTCTAAGAAATTACTCACATGGATTTATTTTGTGTCAATTTGTCTCAATATCTGAAGTAGTGGCGAAAGTTAAATTGGGTCAAACTTATTTTGAGAAAAATAGTTTATTTGACTTTTTTTTTTTAAAAAAATTTAACAATGAAGTTGAAACTTCAACAAATTGAAAGGAGTTGCATGGAAAATTAAAAGCTAAATTCAACAGAACCGTTAAACAACTAGAATTTTCGATTTGACATAAAATTAGTAAACTTTATGATAGAATCAATTCATATAAAACAAAATGAAATTTTATGATTGCGTGAATTTATGAAAAATAGCTTATAAAAGATCGTTGAATATTATGATAATTTTAAAATTGTTTAAACTCAAATTTTTTTTTATATTTAAAAGATTTAATTCTAATAAAAATTTAATATTCTATCAACAAATCACAAATCTCACCAACTAATTTCATTTTTCCTTACCATACTAAAAATGCTAATTTCTCGCCATGAAATAGTCAACTCTTACGCTACCGCTGCTGCGCCCCCTTCAAATTCTCTCTTTCATTATTGACATATATGGAAGAAAAGGCGGATATTATGACTTTTCAAGCAACGGTCAAAGATGCGTTTTTAGACTATTCTTTTTAATTCATGCCTTGTGGTAAAAAAAATATAGAAAGCTTTCAATCTCTTTTTTTTTTTTCCCTCTCTTTTTTATTTTCTTTTTATTTTTTCTATTTTGTTCATTTATTACGATAGTACAACTTCTTGCATTATTGAGCACTTTACAATGAACCAAACGAAAAGTACTAAACGTAAAATTCAGCCAAAAATGGCATTATTTTCATTAACCATGCACCGCCCCTTGTAAAGGTTATTGAAACAAGCAGCTCCAACCTAACCCTTTTTATATAGCAGTTTGAATTAAAAGCAGCAGCTTTTTCCTCTTATATTAATTTTGACATTATCAAGCCTTTCTCTTTGTCTACATTACGTTTTAGTGACTCAGCTTTTTCTTTGCATCGCTTAGTTCTATTGGGTCGGCAATGAAAACTTAATTTTCATGAGGATTTTTCCTTAATCAAAACCATTTTATTTAATCATTATTTCATGGAATCTCACTAGCTTTTTGTCATACACTGAGCTTTTTGAAGCACAACATTTGTTAAATTTTATTTTCAATCCGTTTAAGGGACCTGAAAGCAGAGAATTACAACTTTTGTACTTTCTCCTTCATTTCCCTTAGCTTTATGACTCAATTTTCCGATTCATTTTTCACCTTTTCTATTGTATATTTTTATAATACAAAATGCTTTTAACGAATAAATTATGATCTAGCAGGGTTTGTTAATCATCCCATAAGATACAAATATAATTAAAAGCGAAACCGCCTAAATACAGGCACCATCGCCCACAAGATGGACCAACCAAAAGAGTAATTACTTAACAGTGTTTTCAGATCTTAGTCATAGGTTAGACCGGCTGATAAAGTACCAAAGAATTTAAGTAACCGACTTCCAACTCCACTAGAGACCTGAACTTCCACTTAGTTATTGAGTCTTTACGCTAATTTATTATTCTAGAGTCATTTAATTAAGCAAAAGCAAACGAGATTCGTTTTTTCAGTAAACAAGTTTTATGGCATGCTTTGAGACTTGCATGCTAATAGTTTCTAGACTTTCACATTTCTTTGCATGTTAAAGATGCTTTCAAAACATGAATTTTAACTTAATTTATCAATACAATCATTCTTAAAATACTGATATTTAACATATTTGGAGTTCAAATTTTAATATTTGTAATTTTTTTTCTTATTTTTAGGGTATGGTATTCTTTGTAATAAAAAAATAATGTTTTAATATTATGTCCTTTTATGTTGCTTTCAACTGTTTGAATTTCCATAAATAGTCAAAACAGGAGGCCTTGGAGATGCCTGGAAGCCACCCCCATGTGACAATGAAGGTTTCAGCTTCAAAGTTCGGGTAGAGGAAGATTGTCAAAAAGAGAGAGTTAGGCAAACCAAAGTTAGATTTATTAAAGAGATCCTGGAGAATATTTGATTGATTCAGGTTCAGGCCCCGAAAAACCAAACGACTTTAAGTGGGAATAACTTTCTGATAAAGAAAGTTTCTGCTACGTAGTCCAAATTAAGATCATTTTCCCGACTAATTTCTAGAACTAGGTTTTTCCTGCTTGCCCAAGGAACTCCTATGAAACGAATCTCTTCACTTAGTCATGTCTCTCCCAATAAATTCAGTAACACATGATGATCTTGTGGTATAAGATTCATGGCTTATATAGTTTGGAAAGGAATCAGGGAATGCCCCAAAAGGAATTTAATTCTCCTAAAATGATCAATAGTCGTGTAACTTGCGTTTATGTTGTAAACATTGTATCTGAGAATATAAGAAACACGAATCATTGGGAAATAATTTTCCATCACTTCATCTTTCCATATCTTTCTTGAATTATATAAATAATTGTTCAACCTAAATTTGACTGATAAAAAATGTGGTTAATAATTTTTTTTTTTGTCAGAAGATAGTTTTTTAGGATTATTACTTCTTTGTTATTAAAAAAATAATTCATCTATAAGAAAACAAAGAAACCAATTTTTAAAATTGTGGTATATACGATATCATGTATGAGACTTTTTTTAAAATCCCTAATATTTTGCATTATATGTTGCTCACAAAATTAATGATGTCAAAATAGTGGGTTCAATGTCAAATGGACACTTTATAAATTTTACCACGTTAAAATTTCATATTCATAAATTGAAAATTTTTCGAATCTATACTATTTTTTATCATATAAATGAAGTTCAAAAAATTAATAACAATAAAATTTTTATGATAAAATGTTGAGTTCAATGTCCGCAATCTAGTAAGATGAAAAAAAATCCTACTATCAATAAAAACCTTTAAAATTTTTTATTTTTTTATAAAAAAATAGAATAAAAAATTATAAATATTAATTTAAATTACAAATTTATTAAATATAATCTGTTAAAATTAATTAAATATATCAACTGAAATAATTACTTATTTAAAATATTTGCTGTATTTCATTTAATGTTGAAAGGGTTCGTCCTCCTTCACCAAGCAAGCGGGGTTACAATCTTAGACAATAATACTAGGCTGTACAAAAAGCACGTTGCAGTTGGAACATTAACATGGGTTGCCTGCCTACCTGTTTGGTTTCCTTGTTTTGCATATTTCTAGGAAATTGAAAGAAATGTTGGCATTTGATTGGGTGGTTAGGTCCACTTTTTGGCACGGGCGGTAGGGCCATCATGGCTTCAAATTTGCCACGTGAATCTTCTTTGGCTCTCAATACCCGCAGATTTTGCATCTCTTATCAGTCGCCAACTTTTCTTTCTGGTTTGGTATGTAATGGGAACGGTCAGGATTCTATTGTTCATTTTTTTCTTTAGTATAATTATTCTTTTCTTGCACTCTTAAAAGTTTTAATCCACGTGTCTCGTTGATTGGAGCCAACTTGTCACTTGAATGTATTCTTTTTCAAACTATAAACTAATTTTAAAAAATATACATGTATTAATTTTTTAATTTTATTTATAAAATTAAAAATTACTAATATAAAAATAAATTCTTTTTTATTTGTCTAATGATAAAACTTTTATTAATTTTTTTGAGTTAAACAATATTAATTAAAGGATAAATTTCATCTAAGTCCTTAACTTTTAAATATAATTTAACTCAAATTCATTAGTTTGAAAAATAGACTCTCCACCCTAAACTTTTCAATTAATAAGACAATGAAGTCCTTTCAGTCAATTATATATTAATTATTTAGTTAAAATTTTTATTAAAAAATTA